AGGAGCTTCATAACTTGTACTCTTCGTCAATTTAAATTATAGTGATCAACTGAAAGAGGACGGCCGCGCCGTAGTTCAAGCGATTAGTCGCTGCCTTCCAACCGCTGCGGCCTGGGTTCGATCCCGGGTCTGGTCAAGCAGGATTTGTGGTGGACAAAGTGGTGCTGGGTCAGGTTTTCTCCGAGTGCTTCGGTTTCCCCTGCCAATCTTCATTCCACCAACTGCTCCACAATCACCCTCACCTATCATCTGGGACTGGTACAATAGGCCAGAAGTGGCCGCAGTACAAGGGACTTAGTCCCACCTCACTAGCAGTAAAAAAAAGTAAAACATGATGAGAAAGGCAAGGAATGTAGCAAGAATGAGGAGAAGAGGAATGCACATAGGATATTGATGGGAAAGGCAAAACAAAAAGAGACCATTAGGAAGATCAAGACATAGATGGGTGAACAATATTAAAATGGATCTAAGATGGATAGAGTGGGATGGTATGGAATGGATCGATCTGGTTCAAGGTATGAATTGTTGGAGGGCTCTTGTGGATACGGTAATGAACCTTCTGTTTCTATAAAATGCTGGGAAGTTCTTGAGTAGCTGCAAAATTGGCGGCTTTTCAAGAAGGGCTCAGCTCCATGAGTGAGTGAGTGAATGATATGTATCTTACATAAGAGCTGAGAAAATAAAATCGGCCAAGCGACTGGCTACGAGCTAGACAGCCTAGGGGTCGGAATTCGAGTCCCTGTAAGAGAAAGAGTATTTTTCTCTCCACGTCGTCAAGACTGGTTTTGGATACCACTCAGACTTCTATTTAACGCGTGCCGGGGGTTCTTTTGCCGGAGAAAAGCGGCTGTGGCATAAAGCTGACCACTGACCTCCAACTAGTACCAAGGTCAAGAATACATGGATCTACACATCCACTCTCTCAAACCTCTTCATGGGAATAAGGACAACTTTCCCTTACCTATGCATGATACTTGCCGCAGTATGCACCCCCATTCAATTAATAAGAATTCGGGATGATTTTAGGGCCATATTAAAATAGTTTGGACTTAGTCGGGGAATTAGTTATAAGAACCGTAATTGTGTGGCGATATCAGAAGAATGAACAAGGGATATTATGATGTAAGGATGAGGGAGACAAAGAAAAATGGACTAGGCCAGTGGGATTTTAAGATATATGCATGGAAGGAATTTATCTCTGGATGAAAGAAACCAGAAAATCACCTCATTTATGCTATTATCGTGCCCTCATCCTCTAACTAAATTTATATTTTCTATCTTGTCATATTTAAATTTTCCAGTATTTGTTGAGAAATTTTGTGGACTTACATAATATTCATATAAAGCACAATAATTAGAGGATGGAGCAATTCATTTACTTTAAACCCTTGATGTTTTTATACATTCCGCCTGCTTAAATACACTGCAACTGTAAATTCTTCCCACACAATATGTTTCCAGTAGTGAATGCAATAAGTAGTGGCGCTTTCCTTATACGGGAGACTGATCTTTGTAACGAAAGTGTAATATGTTTCCCGTGAAATATAAATTTAATTTTTATTTATTACTTATAAGAAATTCAGTCTTTGAAAATTAATTAGATCTTTACCTATAAATCTGCATCATTTCCATTGCATAGGATCAAGCGAAATCAGATGATCATGGATGTCTGATTAATTTAAAATTCGACAGGAGAAGGACGAAGAAAACTATACGGTTAGTGGTGATACCAAGGGTATCTCAGTTAAGCGAGCAGGTATTTTTTTTTAATTCGCTTAGTGGGGGGTGGCACGGCGGCCACTGATTGGCTTATTGTAGCCTGCTCCGGGTTATTATGATGATGTAGAATTTGATGGAATGAAGATTGGCAGGGGAAACCGAAGTACTCGGAGAAATCCTGCCCCAGAACCACTTTGTCCACCACAAATCCCACTTGACCAGACCCGGGATCGAACGCGGGCCACCGCGGTGGGAAGCCAGCGACTAACCGCTTGAGCTATGCTAGCCGGTAACCAGGCCGTAATTCCAATCGGATGGAACGTGACTCTAGAATTTAACTCTTGCTCTTCTCTAGGAAATGGAATCTAGGAGAAACATTCGTAGCAATTTTTTAAATCCTGGCTCTGGTTTCAAATTTCACTCACATAGATAACTACAAGTAAAATTACAGTTTTGCACATTTTAGTTTTTAATATTTGATAGAACGCGGTAAAAATATGAACGGAATATTGTAAAATATTCTCCGAATTCATCTTCTCTTAAATTCTTCACCAATGTAGTTTTATCTGATAGTGTCCTTCTCTAGTATGTGAAATTGCCACGTTTTCTAAGGACTTATTAGAGATATTTATATTATAATTTTTCCTGCATTTTGTTGAAGGAGCTTGAACATACACTTACTTCCTGTATGCGAACATCCTTACTCAGGATGATGGCGCTTTTGTGTTGTTTTCGCATGCTACTGATATTTGTCCAACAAATTAACATTATTAACATAGGCCAGAGGATGTTGTGTCCTATTAAATTACAGTTTCTTATGGTTTTCCTGGACATGACACTCGTTTCATAAACATACTTTCATTTGTCACAAAGCTTTCTGGTAAGTCACAGTCACAGTTGCTGCATGCATGAGAAGTGTAGAACAAAACGTGTTTGTCGCTTGTTTGGCATAAGGGTACAAGTTCTTTGTTATGCAATTTGCGGCATTACATTCCTATGTTATGAATAACAGAATCCAAAAGGCGGGCTAACGAAGTATTTGAATAACAATGTTCCTCTTAACATTATGAGACTGAATATGATAATCTCAAGGTGTAACATCGAACGTGGAACACAGCAATCCTCAATCCTGCGTCTAATTCAGAAGGTCCGGAGCCCAATCTAATTCCGGACATGGACAGTCCTGACAGAAATTTGTGTGGTTTTCCTCAGTCCCTCCATTCAAATCCTGCTCCGTACCTGAAGAATCTCAACCGTTTTCAAGTTCTTCCCGTGTAGTATTCATCCAATAAATCGGTGATATGGAAGTTGATGAAGTATTGTTAAATAAGCCAGAAATAAGAGTGAAAACTTCTTTGTAAAGCTATTCCTGTAACAGACCGTGAAGGCCCATAGGGTTGTGAGACGTTGAGGGTCCCACATTATCTAGACAATCGGCTCAAAGGTGGCGGTAAGGTTGCCAGCCTTACGCGCCGGCCGCGCTCTACTCTCCAGGAAAATTATTTAATAAATTCGTGATACTCATTTCTGTTAGATCAAATTTAAATCGATAAAAATATCTGTCCTGTATGGGCATTGATATAAAACATCAACTGAAAAATGTAGGAAACTTGATTTGAAGAATAAAAGAAACATACATTAATATAAGGATAAATGCTTTAGAAGAAAACAAAAAAAAAAACGCCGACATAACTGGAGACGGTAGTTGCGGGCTTCATATCTAGGATATCCAGGTTTAACTCCAGCGTAATGCAACTGGAATTTGGGGCGGAAAGTGTCGTAACGAGACTGGTAGTCTCCGAGTACCTTCGCTTTATCCCGCCAGTCATTCTGCCAACTGTCAAATCTGAAATGTGCACACCCTGCCATCATCAAAACTTCGGTCCTGTGTTGAGTCGCCACTGTTGACCGGGCAAATCCATGAACTTAGAATACAAAAGTTATTTTATATATACATATATTCGTGTACCCGGTCCACAACAATTAACTCCGTCTTCACATGCCCAAAACATATTCATTTCTATTCGCCTGAGGATATTGAATTCGGATAATACTTGCTACCATACAGTCCAGAAACTTTTGTCTTCCCTTCTGCTGCTTAAAAACATAAAAATTAGAATATACAAAACTATACTTTTCCCTGTGATTCTGTATGGGTGTGAAACTTGGTCTCTGACATTAAGGAAGGAACATAGACTGAGGGTTTTTGAGAAGAGGGTGCTGAGGAGAATATTTGGACCGTAGAGGGATGAAGTGACAGGAGGTTGGAGAAAACTGCATAATGAGGAGCTTCATAACTTATACTTTTTTCCAAGTATAATTAGAATTATCAAGTCAAGGACGATGAGGTGGGCATGGCATGTAGCACAAATGGGGGAGACGAGGAATGCGTATAGTATATTGGTGGGAAAACCAGAAGGAAAGAGACCAATGCGTAGGTGGGTGGGCAACATTAAAATGGATCTTAGAGAGATAGGATGGGATAGTATGGATTTGATTGATCTGGCTCAGGATAGGGATTAGTGTAGGGCTCTTGTGAACACGGTTATGAACCTTCGGGTTCCATAAAATGCAGGGAAATTCTTGATTTGCTGCAGAATTGGCGGCTGCTCCAGCAGGGCTCATCTCCGTGAGTAAGCAAGTAAGTAAATCGCCTGTTGTTCAACTGGCAGATATGTAGCCCTCAATGCTGCCTTCTATCTGCCATTACTAGCACGATGGTTTCTATTCCGTGGCTTATCCTCCATTCTAATAATAGCAGTTACTTTTATGCTCCCGACTTTATCCATGTTGGATAAACATTCCGTTTCAGTAGCCACTCTCCTATTAATCTATTTCGTTTATACCCGTATTACCTTCGATCTGTATGTTAAATTTCTCTAAACCTCCCTCCTATTTTATGTTATTCCAGCACTCTGAGCTCAACTTCTTAACGGTTTCGAGTAATTTTATGGCTTATTCCTATAATCTATTTAACAACTGTATCAGTTATTATAAAGACATGCCTATATTCATGGCACACCACTATTTATTCTTTCTTTTCTAAACCAATGGGTGTTACCTCTTCGGTGTGTGTGTATATGTATATACATAGATATAATAGGTGGAGATTTGAACTTATATCCGGCGGACTGGGATGGGGATGCGGGAAAAATAAGCGGCTTTCAAGCATTGGTAAACAAAATGTTATGGCATAATGGCTACACATAGGTTGTAGGCGGTCCCACAAGAGGAAACGCCTTACTGGACCTTTACCTCTTCAGGCCTGATAATCCACTTACCTCTTGTAACATTGTACCTGGAATCGGTGATCATAGCGGGGTACTATTGGAAGTAGAAGGGGATGATATTTGTCGACAGCCTAAAATGGAAAGAACAGTCCCGTTATACCACAAGACAGACATATTAGGTTTACAAACCTTTCTTAGGGAAAAGTTTATCTTGTGGGCTGGGAATGGTAGCTGTGTAGAGAAGATATGGAAAAGTTCTAAGGACATAGTTTTCAATGGTATGGAACGTTTTGTGCCTCATAAAATTCTGAGTAAAAATCCGCATCCAGAGTGTTATAACAGAGAAGTTAAATGGTTAAAGATAAAGGTGAGGGTGTACAATAAGAGGGAATTTGAAGAACATTACTGAGAGGAGTTGAAACGTTTCTCTAGGGAGTTACTGGTAGAAAAAAGGAAGGCTCAGGAGACTTTTACATTCGGTCTTACAAAAAGAGGGTAATTGCTGGGCAGAGTTTTTCGGATATGTTAAAAGGTGCAGAGGAAATAGAGAAAATATCCCGGCAGTCAAAGGCTATAATGACAATCCCATCACAGATCCAATAGAAAAGACCAACACCTTAAATTCTTATTATGCATCTGTATTCAGTTGTGAGTGAAACAATCCACAAATCCAACCAACGGATTCCAGTATGATAATTACGATCTTAAGTTGTAGGTACTTAATAATTTTCAGAGTTTGGTGAATAATTATTAGTGTCCCCAATTAGTATATTAATTCATCTGCAATTTCTTTTAAAATTCGTCATTACGGCCTCAAGATATATTTCAAACAACGTGGGCGATTAGCATCTTCCCTGTCGCAATTCTTTGGCAAATCAAACCTGTTTCTTACTTGATTATTCAGTCTTAACTTTGAGTTGCATATCTTGTATATAACACTAAAATTATATTATTATTTGGCTCAAAGCATATAAAACGGAGTTAAAGAAGTGAGCTTCAGAATAAGGATTTACTCTGTATTATCACTGAATGAAGTATTTTGTGAGCATCGTGAATTGATGCCTGTAAACTGAGGCGCTAGTATGCATATGGCACATTTCACTGTATTCAGAACACCCGCACTTGTTACTTTGTGATGCTTGGATCCTTGACTTTGAAGTGTTATGACATGTTTTTCCTTAAGTCGTAAAATGCTTAAGGTGTCAATTTCTTCACTTCATTGAGTGGTTTAAGGAGCGTCTGTTTAATTTGCAAAGTTCAAACGGACCAGTGAAATACAGTCTCATATTCCGAGATCACGTATCGAGGAATGTGCATAGTCACCAAGGACTATTCCTCGCCAAAATATCATTAACACCTTGACCACAAATCCACGTGGAAAAGCGATAAGATAAGGCGTAACACGAAGTATCATGATATATTATCATGCAATTATTTAAAAAAACGAGTCGCTACCAACTTAATATCCAAGTTAAAATGAACATTTATCTGTAACGCACAATAATCACGATCAATATTAACTAAAAATCAAGTGTGTGGGAAGAATAAAGGAGATAATGAAGAGATATGTTTGGAACACAGATAAAGTCATTTATAGTGAAGGGAGACAATAACCTACAGCGCTTTAATTAAAAAATTAATCTCAAGATAAATTAAAGCTATCGAAGCCCTGAAAGTACAAAAATGTTTAGGTTCATTAAACATTTTCTGCTTATCCTAATGTGAACCTTGATGTGAAAGGTAGGAAGAACGAAACTAATTTCCTTTATGTCCTCTTATACAATCTACATCTGCTTCCAACAATTCAGATCATGTTCGAAGTTAGAATACAATATTTGGAGCACAATTAAAGCCGTCTTCCATAGAATTCCATCCTTTATATTTCAATTAATAAAGATGCAATAAACATTATTCTATTAGAAATGCACTAAGATATATTCGGGAAAACTTTCACTCCCTGATCCTTGTGATACATCTGCCACGACGCAGAAGACGAAAGCTGAACGGAAGGTGTCAAATATCACACTTCCTTCATATTCAATCACCATATAATTGCCGTTTCATCAATCTCTTTACAACCACGATGGTGATGTAAATATCTGAGGAGTATAGCTACAGAATAATTTTACCAAAACAGAAACTATGACAGGCTGATCATCTGAAAATAATGGGGGGAAAAATCTAACCTTCTTTTGTAGCATCCCAGTATTACAGAGGCCGATATGAAAATAAGTTCTTGTTTCAAATTATTATACTCTTGCTTTCGTTTTTGCTTAAGTAATATTTACGCGACAACTAGAACATAATATCTTCCTGTTCTCTTCACCTGAGTCTGGGTTTTGTCTGACGCGTCCTCCTCTTGGTAGAATACAGCGAAATTAATTGAACCTAATTATAACCAGATAATTTGCTTTGTTCCTGGCTTATGTTATGAGCTAGTCCGCTCTTCAACGACATCTTGTCAAACTCCGCTTTTGTATGTATATAAACTGTTCCACAAGGCATTGGGTGAACTTCAGAAACGTGACTGCAGGCCATTCGGAGAAAACTACCAACAGAATACAGGTTAATGCAACACTGTTATTGAGTTAAGCGCTAGCTTATTGTAGCACTGGGAAAAAAAAAAACAACATATTTTCATTCAAACTTCATTATCATAATTTTTAAATCTTGCAGAAATAAAGATTTAAGGTTTTTAGAATACAAGTTCGAAATGTCCACCAGTAGACTGTATGCATGCTCCCGAACGTTGTGCTATTTAATATTGTAAATGCATTCGACCAAGTTTATTTCCGATACCAAAGGCGACTTCATCCATAGCCTCTAGCAACCAGCGTTTTGCTTCCAGTTTACCACTGTGATAAAATCTTGACTTCATGCAACCCCATAGAAATAAATCTATTGGATGTAAGTGGGAGAGCGAGCGGCTAAGCCACCGGTCCACCTCTTCCTTTATAATCTTCGTTAAAGGAATCCGTTATGGCTCTGCTGAAATATGGAAGTGCGCTGTTATGTTGTGTGTTGCAAGAGGCACATCCACTAAATTCAGCGGCAATTAACTTTCCAGAAAGTTTCTGTAATAAGGAGATGTCAAACGTTCCGCGATAGCTTGTTGTCCAGTACTCCACATCACACATTAACTGATAATAAGTGTTGAAAAGAACGTTCGGCTACCGCATGCGGATTTTCGTGTGCTCAAGAGTACGAATTCCTTGTGCTTGTTATACCACTCCGGGTAAAGTGAGCCTCATCCTTTAACAGAATATCACGCAGAATATGTAGTCGTGGTTGCAGCAGGTCACAGAATCGTACAAGGTGGGTGTGATCCTCTGTAAGTTGTGTTGAACTCTTTGGAAGTGTCAGGGATAGAAACCATCATCGTGCAAAATTAATCATATTTATGTCTGTGCTACACCAATCATCCTGGAAATTCTGCACATACTAGTGTTTGAGCTTCGTTTCAGAATATCATCTTCGCTTCAACGTCCTTGTTCACGTTTTACGTTCGCTCGTGTGAAGGTGCCAGTCTCCCTCTAAGTTATGTATACGTTTTCAAATGTTTCGCAACATGCAATCCTGCCAAATGGATATGGTTGCCGGTTTCCATTATAGCGGCCTCACATTTTTCAGTGCAGAAACCTTATAAGAAATATATGTCGGTATATTCTTCATTTGTAGTGTGCTTCCCATTTTGACTACGACCTAACTGCAACACAACACAGGCACACTAGCCTAGAGGCCTATAGGCTAGTGTGCCTGTGTTGTGTTGCAGCTTAGCCGTAGTCAAAATGCGAAGCATTTACATACAATACATAGATGTATTGTAAAAGCAGGAACTCGGTCGTGTTACAGGAGTTCAACATAGTCTGCTCCACTAGCGCCTAATTCAATAGCATTGGCGAATCGACTGGATATTGTTGCTCCAATGATGGGCAGGACACCACAGTCATGACGTCTGGCCAGTACGTCGCGGAACAGTATACATACGACGTATACATATATCATAAACATGCATTACTTGTTTGTGAAACCTAAGTAATTTAATCTTGTAATTTCTGGTCGCTTGAAGAGTATCTCACAAGGCAACCAGGAACGTAGTTCCGGGACTGAAAGGTTTTTACGTCTTTCGCAACATTGGAAGGAATCCAAATTTTTTAGTGTCTAGAGAAATCAATACTTCCTCTTCAAAATATGCTTCTTTTTAATAAAATTGAATGTTTGTAAAATGGGGATACTTTTAAAAATGTTGGTAGGCACAGTACTTCTAGCATTATTTGCAGACAGGGATCTGGCAAACACAGCCAAGTTTTGAGGTTATGCTCATCTTCTTTCTATTCTACGGGCCATAACCAAAGTCCACTTACCTTCTAATATAATGAATTATTAAATTCTGATATCAATATCTTGATAAGCTCATGTTTATGTGCTTCTACCCTCAAATTGCTATTGAACCAATTAATATGTTTTCGTAAAACTCCTGTAAACTCTCTGGCAAATATAACTTATAATTTCATAATACTGACTTGCGAATTTCTGGGGAAGTTTAACAACTGATGGAATTTTCGACAGCGAAGTTTTAATTTCCTTAATCCTAAATTAAATATATATAGCGTACTGCCAGACCTCTTAGTTCAAGGACGCCAGGCTGGTGTGTGTGAAACATTTCAGAACATCCTGAATAAAGCAGTGTTATCTCATGTCAAAGAAACTTCACCCCAAATTGTATTATACCTTAACGTGGCACTACTCACATGAAAGTAAACTTCATTTTAAGAAGGAATGACAATTTCGGAAGCAATAGTAATGTTCACGCTGTGTTAAAAGGTTCAGCTGGGCAGATGCAACTTCCTAAGGAACCACAAATTTAGCAACTCACATTTTCTCTTTCCTTCCGTCAGTCAAATTTCCCAACACACTAAGACATCACGTGGGTTTCGATAAGCTTCCTTGCCTCATTCTCTGTTTCGTCAATCATAAAACCGCACTAGACGCTCTGGCCGGAGACCGTGAATAGTTCCTGGGTATGGCCTACCAACCAAAACAGAATTACCAACTACTGAAATAATTTATTGTTTCAGAATTAATTTTGAATTGTCATGGGCCAGAGAACTAAACTCCTGACAACTGAGGAATGCGACGTTATAGAAGCCCATGAATTCTGAAAAGAACTGTGTTCCTATGCCCAACTTTTCTGAAGTCAAAGGGATTCTTAATGACAAACCATGAAAAGCACTTTAATAAATATTAAAAATTTTATAATATTGTGGCATGTAGGCCCATTATTAGGCACCGACCGCGAAATAATCAGATATACAACAGCCGCTGCTATGTAATAGCTTTGTAAACAATGGCGGTTATGTAAAGCCGCAACAAATTAATGCGCAACAATGGAGTAACTGGGAAAAGCTGTGTTCTATACGCGGTCCGTGCGACAGCTATGCGATGCAACAATAGAAAATTATTTGGAAAGATGTTTTCTGTGCGATAAGTGCTGAGGCTATGTAACAAGGAGCAGCTGCGATTACAAGAGTCTTGAGAATGCAGTTCGAAAAGTTGGAGTTACTTGTGAGAGAGTCGCCGGCCAGTAAGGACGTGAACACGGAAGCTATGAAAGTTACGGTGTTGAAAGCCGTTATCAGGCAACAGTCGGTGAACATACAGCAGACTGAGAAGATTTCGTACGTCCTGTAGTGAATGGCAGAGTGTGTAAATTAGCGTTAACGCTGTAGTCATTTGTAGTTACGTTCTGTAAGAGTTCAATTACCAATCCAAACCCCGTCTGTAGTCACTCAGTCATATATAATGACAGTACAGTACCTACTAATCCACTGGTGACGAAGTCATGCATTTTATTACTCAAGTAATATCTGTATATGTAGATACTTCGATGTCGTATGTATTTTCTCCAAATTAATTGAATAAACTACTCATATGTTGGTGTTCAATATGCAAGATGTAGGTTAAAATTTAATATAATTTTGAGTTGTACTTCTGTTCTTAAACTTAATTATTTTCTATACTACTTCGTCATCACGTCACTGGCAATTTAATAAACTTGGTAATATATTGTGGCATGTAGTCCCGTTGTTTGGCAACGACCGAGAAATAAGCAACTAATCAACGGCCGTTACTAGGCAGCGGCCCGCAAACCGTAACAAAAGAACTGTGTTTCCTGTGCAATCCGTGCCGTGGAGTTTTAAGCAGGATCCCAGTTAGAAGTTGTAATTAATTAGCTAACCGCTGGGGTTCAGTTGTTGAGGGCTGTTGCTGTGAGAAGCTGGTAGCTGAGGTCGAGGACAGTTTGGGAACCCAGAAGAAGAGAACGTCCGCCGTTGGAAGCAGCTACAATGCATCGGAAATGAAGAAGTGATTTTGGATATTAGTGTGTTTGTGTAATAGTGAACAGTAAAGTGTAGTCATGCGCTGCATCAAAGTGTTCAATAAATCGAGTCAACAATTCAAACCCCGTCTAGAGTCACCATACTTCACATCTGCTGTGTAACAGAAGTAAAATAATAACGACGTTTTATCTGTATTAGTCGTACTATATGATATCACTTAACAAAAGCAAATACGTCAATTGTTAACGTGAGATAAAGTGATAAACATTATTTACGGACTTAGGACTGTGCACAGTCTATGAATGCATCGGAGTGGGCGATCTAATGAATTGTTTTGTTTCTCAAGCATGCTCATTTCAGAGGCTGTAAATTCCCAGCAATGCTGGAATTTCTGCAGAACTTGCTTATTTTTCCCCCCCTTGGCACTACAGACCCAGCTGGCCTAGGCCTACCTACATGAAATTCTCCTTTCACTTCGGTTTTTCTAGATCTTACACATTCGGTAGGACTCCTTGGGAGGGTGATCAGCTCGTCGCAAGGCCTCTACCTGTACACAAACACAGAAAAACGCACACACACAAACTAAACATCCATGCCCTGAGTGGGATTCGAAACCACGATCCCGGTTTCCAAGCGAGCGAAGACAGTATATGCCTTAGACCGCTCGCCTACCGTGACCGGCCGCTTGTCTGTTACCACGGACAATTCTAGCTAGACGCCGCTGGTCACGATCTTTAAGCACCCGTGGTCGCCCACTGCGCTGTCCACGGTGGGTGGAAATGCCTTCCACAAAGTATTCCCGGTAAACACGTGACACTGTGGTTCGAGGAATGTTGAATGACCGCACAACTTCGGAAATGGAACGTCCTATCCGCCTGGCACCCACTATCATGCCCCGTTCAAACTCCGATAATTCACGTCGGCTTGCCATGAGCAGATTGGCCTGTGTTCAACCTGATTCACGAGAGAACACCTCACAACTGATACTGCTCTGGGCATTCCCAAGCCGTCAAGGGACGGTGGCGCCACTTAAAAACAAATTTACATACTGCTATCCCATGACTTTTGGCACTTGAGTATATATATATATATATACACATACGTACATACACGTACACGTACACGTACACACATGTCACGCTCCTTATGTCCTCGAGTTACAAGTCTGAAAATCTTGATTATTCGGGTACACTCTAACCAACTACCTGGTACAGGGACTTTCTTTCGAAAGCTGATGGTTTCCCACTTATACAAGAAATGCCCTCCTTTGATGAAATCCGACGATTCAGCACCGTGTTCACAAGACCGTTACTGAACCCTGTTCTGAGCCAACTTAATCTGCTACAAACGTACACTTTCTGCCTCCAATATCTACTTTTTTTGTTGCTAATTTAACGACATTGTCGGTATTGAAAATAAATAGTGTTCAAACACCTCTCTCTGTTTATGGCTCTACAGCCCTTTGGACCTTGGCCGCTTTTTCCTATACACACACCTTGGACAGGGAATCAGCCCATCGCAAGGCTCATACCTACACGAAGAGCAGCATAAACACAGAATAAACGCACACAGACATTCATGCCTCGAGTGGGATTCGAAACCACGACCACAATGTTCGAGCGGGCGAACACTTTTCATGCCTTAGACCGGGCAGCAACTGTGATCGGAAGATCTAATCATCCACTTTACTTTAGCACTGTTACTTTTAGGCTTCCAAAATGGCCTATTGAATTGGTGATTTCTGCTAAAATTTTGCGTGAAATATTTCCCGTCCATTTAATTTTTCAAATTATAACTTGTTACATAATATGTTGCGTTATGTAAGTTAGCAATGCGGAAACCAATTTCGCATGTTATATTCTGATAATTAAAGTCGAGACGGGACAAAGAAGAAGAGGCATTTAAGTTGAATTGAAAGTTAAAAGTCTATGATACTCCGAATAAATATGAGAACAAACCATTTGTATGTCACAAACTGTGGCATATTTTGTATTTACGTTTCTAAAACCTGAAAAAATCCGACACACATATTATAGCAAAACATTATATATTAATATATGTTTCAAATACAGGGAGGCATGTATTGAAGCTGTCTCTATTTGCTACTGCATTGACGTGTGTACGTGTGTAAGGAAGAAATTATGATTTGCCACGCGAAAAATGTTATTACCAGTACCTATGGAAATTTCAGAGGATTCAATGACAAAGAAAACATTACACTTTGAATGGTAAAGACGAAGTATCACGTAAAGAAACATTACTCGCTTCTAATTTCGAGTTGCATAACGTTTGGCAAATTACATATCGAATTCGGAAATTACGCAATTGCTATTCGTGACTTCCCAGTAACACAGAACGAGTTACTACTTCGAAAGGCCTATACAAAGAACAATTAATTAGTTCTCCCTTTATTTCCTAAAAAAATCTATAAAAAGTATCAAAAAACAAATAAGAAAGGAGCTAAAAGTGAAATTGTATGAAGTTATGGATATCCCAGTGTTGGTAGGAAAATTGAACATGGGTTTAGAACAAAACACTACAAACCTTTAATCGGAAACAACATTCTGAGAAGTGTCAAGTAATCTGCCAATTTAGGTACAATTAGAAGTCAAGGTATAGAGAAAGGACTTAATATTTATTCAACAATTTGGAAAGAATATGACTAAAAATAAAATTGTTATCGCCCCTCAACAGAATCTCAGGCTTGCTCTTTACGAGCATTACACACAGAGAGAAACAGACCATTCGAAAGGCGACCACAAAGATTGAACAAGTTCGAACTTTATTACAGTTTAGATGAAGCAAGTCACTTGACTGTGGGAATTATAATTTTCTGTTCACAGCAAAATAGTGTGACGGTTTATTACTTAACTCTTATTTACAATGTTCACTGAGGTTTAATACTGATAATGAAAATGTGCTAGGAAAATCATTTCCAGCGCGGGATTCAACCACTTTTGTTCTCCCATTTGAATGGTATAAGATGCAGTATACATATTTTTTTTTATTTGTTTCATTCTGGTCCGTCACACTAATAGAATTATGAAAAAGTTAAACAGTTCCTTCCAGTGTGACTGGTTAAGATTTTTCTTTTTTCAATTTTTCAATTATAATTGAAATAAGAAAAAATCTTAACCAGTCACACTGAACGGAACTGTTTAACTTTTTCATAATAAATTATTTTGTTCACAGAAAAAATTTATTCCACCTTACTGAAAATAAATTTTCGATTACACAATTTTTTATTTTACTTTTACCAATCGATTCATTTACTAATAAATGGAGAGTTTACTTAGTTTTCCAAATTCCTCAAAAGCTTAAGGCTTAAAAATTACTAATGAATTCTAATTCCATGGAGAAGAGATATAAAGAGACGAAGTTAACTTTATTCAGTCCGGTCCGTCACACCAGTGAACTAAATTATAGAATAATTGGTAACACCGTCCAGTTTGATTCAATATGTAGATACTTACTGCCTCTACATGTTTCCGTCGGCTGTGATCATCTTCAGAAGGCATAAAGGACACAACCTTACCAATTCAAGATTTTAAATATGAGATATTAATAAGATTTTTAATACGAATAATTGTAAATAACTTACATATAATGGCTTCTAAATATGTATTATGAGCTTTGTAACTGTAGTTCCTAAACATGTCGAT